TGCGGTGGCGGGGCGGTGCCAGGCTGCGGCGGAGCGCGGGTGGGCGCGGCGGAGCGTGGGTGGGCGAGGCGGGGTCAGACGGGGGCGGGGCCTGCGCGTCGGGGGCGAGGCGCACTGAGGCGGGTGGAGAGCGGGCGGGGGGCGGGACACGGGGCGGAGCTCGTGGAGGTGGGTGGAGTCTGAGCCGCCCGGCGGGGTGGGCGGAGACATGGGCGGAGCGCGCGGGTGTGGGAGGGTGCTTGGTGGGAGGTGCCCTAGCAGGTGGGGCGAGGCGGGGCGGGGCTCATGGGGCGCAGGGGGATCCTCAGCCTCGCGGCGGGGCCCAGGACCTGCAGTTTCGGGGGCGTGGGCAAGGAGGGCCTTTGCCGGGACCCGCAGCGCCAGGCTCAAGAGGGGAAACTGAGGCTCTCAGGCCAGTGTGATGCCGCGCTGGGTGGGACTCCTAGCTTGATTCTGACCTTGAAGTGTGTTTTTTCTGCTCTCCTCAGGTGGACAGAGGGCTCCCCCATCGGGCACACACTTCAGCTCCCCGCTCTGAGCCTCGGACGTTAACTCTGGGGGCTGGGGACTGGGCGAAATCCACCTTTCATAGAAGCAGAAGCCAACGTTGCTTAGTCAAGAGAAGAGGTGAAAGCTTATTTAGGATTATAGCCCCTGACCTGCACGTCCCACCCGGCAGTGACGGTATTCTGGGCATGGGAGTGAGGAGCCAGGGGTGAGGAGCCAAAAGTATTGTTTTGTAAAATACAAATGTAAAACATCAGCTTCCTAGTTACATTTTTAAAAAATTTCTAAGTCCAACAGTTGTGACCAAGACACAGCAACACTTTGTTCTATTTAGCTGTACACTTTTAGCACTAAGAAATCCCACAGAAATTTTGCACAGTGGACAATTCCTAAATTTAAGGTACAGCCTTAAGTGTGCTAGGACTTTATCTGAAAAATTATTCTGGGAGATTAAACTTGACTTTAGAAGAACATAATTAAATGCTCACTGTTGTAATTTTCCTGCCACGTGAATGACTTAGAATATATTCCCACAAATTCATTACAAACACACCTGGACGGGAAGTCCGCCTCTTGGAGGGCTCACTTCCTGTGTGCCTAAAATCTATAGGGCAGGACTCTTTAGGAAGCTCTAGTGGCTTCTTCAGAGGAGAAGTTGGGTAGCCTTCTTCTTTACGTAAACTTTCCTATTGAGTATTTAAAGAAAAAGCTGACGTTCCCTTGAGCACCATGCGGTCCCCAGTCACACTGCTGTTCACTGTGAAGTCTGCTGGCCATCTTTCCAGCCCCTTCCTAGGGACTTGTGCGTGTGGAGGGGGGTGGGCCTTGCTCTAATTTTATGGCTGGAATAATCACGTCACAATGAACTCAGCTGAGTTCAGGAGCAGGGCTGAGAACACAACTTGAGCTTCTCAACCTGTAGGAATTGAGAAGGCAGCTAATATAAATCCAAGAGCCCAAGTAAAAAACGGGGAGAGCTTGAATAGCCTAGGAAAGCACACCTATCCACAGCTACACCATTCATTCACTCACACATCAGACATTTTTGATGGGCAGCTCCCATGCATCAGGTGTGCATGGCCACTGTGTGCGTCACCAAGCTAGTCTGACTGAAAGGCGCAGAACCTGATACTTGCAGGTCTCCTAGAAGCTCTTCCAGCCCTGCTGGAGCAGCTAAAGCCACTGCCTTGTCATTCAGGTCTGGTTCAACCCTGCTTCTCAACCCGCGTCCTTTTGGTGCGGAGCTACAGCCGCCTGCCCCCGATCCTCTTACTTGTCCTGGAACACTTAAGGTTCTCTGACTGGTTCTCTTGGTTCTCTACTGCCTACCACTGGGACTTGATCTGCACGACAGCCAGAACCTGCTGGGGTCCCCACTGCATTCCCGTGCCTAGAACAGACCCTAGCACACAGTAAGTGCTCAGTAAGAACTATTAAGAAACAAATTCATGCACTCATTTAACAGACACTTATTGAGCACCTACTATCTGTCAGCACCGTTCTAGGCATAGGGGCAAGGAGTGCATGCATGAATGTGTAAGTCCACAGCCCTATTTAGCAGCTTCCCCTTCGGTCCACACAAGTCTAGTGCTGCCCACTCCGCCCCACCCTAGGCACTTCTGCTATACCTCCATTAGTCTCTCCCCTTCATCTCAAGTGCCTGACCTGGGCACCTGACTTACAACCTCCTCAGTGTAACAAAAAGGACAGAAACAAATAACATAGTAGACTGGGATTAATGTGTTTATTAATGATAACATTCATACTGCATTTCTAAGACTTACATCCAAAGAGCATATTGTATTTACATGCCATGGAAGTCCAAGAGAACAAATTCAAACCACAGCTCTGTTAAGACTAGGACTTGTTCGCAATTAAATTAAATACACAATACTCTTACCTTTTCTTTTTAACATGTACAACAAAAACCCACTCTTTCTTCTTTTGAGGAATATAAAATTGCATTGATAACTGCACTGATTAGCAACAATTACTTTTGAAAGATTTAAAACCTGAGAGACAAGCCCAAATGTGTGTGCTAACACGTGTACATTCAAATTCACGTATGAATGCTAGGTAACAGAGTGGTCAGTGGGCGACAGTGCAGGATTTAGGTGGCTTGATGGTGATCGATGCCGGTTTGATTGGGAGTCATGCCAGCCTGGGGCACTGAGGGCTACTCCCTCCACACCACCTTGACTATGTTCCACAGATGAACGGGGAGTGGGAGGGAGGTTGTTACTGTAGTTGTTGATTTTCATCTTTGCTTTCCTGTCCATTTTCATTTCTTCCTGCTTTTAAGAGGGGAAAAAAAATCTTTGGCCCATGTAGGTGGGATTTTTCCATTACAACAGATACAGAAATGAAATCTGCCTGCGCCCTGTGGCAAGTGCCCCGCTCCTGCAGCTCAGCCCCGTCGCCCCGTCACTGGAGCGCAGAAGTCAGGGAGGCAACCCAATCAGAACAAAGTGGTCAGAGAGCTATATACACGATTCTAAAAACGGAGAGCTAAGCTTGTCATTACCGCCCAGAAGCAGTGAGTATTTCATTCCATGATCCTTTAGGCTTACTTTAAATACTGAAGATGACTCAGTGCATAACTGGCTTTCTGGTCAAACAGACACTTTCGATAGATGCACACCCATCTAAGTGGTAGGCTGTTAAACCTCATGCTCATCATTGTGACATTTCAGTCTGTCTGCATCTGCCTGCATCTCGCCTTCCCTCTCACCAGGTGGGATTAGAAAGCAGCCTGTTGGCATCCTGGTGCCGAACTCTCCTATTCTGAGGTTCTCAAGTTTTCTCTTTTCTCAGCAGCACATGTCAGCTATCCTGGCTGTCATGGATAAGCAGGAATTCCGAGGCACATATTATATTTCATTCTTCAGTGGCTACTCCAGATACTAATTGACCTCATACCCCTTGTTCCCCGTTTCTGACACACATGATCTGGCACAGCTGCCTTCATGAGGGAACCAGGCTTCCTGGGAGCGGGGGAAACACAGGAACATGCGTATTTAAGGTTATCCACTCAAAAAATTGAGACGGGGGAGAGACACCCACAATTCCGCTTAAAGACTTCACAAAATAAATCTTTCACCCACTCTCACTTACATTTAGGGCCTTCCATTTTAAGGCACTGGGGTTTGAAGACTTGCAATGTCAGTAAGACTAAAGATGTGGCACACGGCTTGCTTCAAACACAAGAGGCAAACACAGACCACTGACTGGACGATGACAGTTCTGCACAGAGACTGTTTTTAGAAGCATGGCGTCTTCAGTTAGTGCATTACCTGCGTGCCAGCTACTAACTGCTAACATCTCTAACTTGAACAACGCTTTTCTCTCTGAAGAAAACAAGTGTTTACACTACTGTGATAAAATTAAATGCCCGTAAGTACCAGGTGTTCAGGTGTCACTGAGGGAGCGTGCTGCTTCCATTTCCCATGTGTGAAGTCACAACCCTACTAATTCCCCAATTAGCTCAACAATATTTTAATCCCATAACAAACCCAAGTCAATGCAAAGACTTTTGGGGGACTTGATCTGATGTGTCCGAAGTCAGGACCTGCTTGGAAATGGCAGGGTCATGCCTCACACGGTAGAACCTGCTGTTCTAGAAAAACAAAACGCCAAACCCTGGATGGAAGGAAATGTCCGAGTTTTAGAGCAGTCTTTCCTCCTGGTCTGCAATCAGGATGAGTAGCTATTTTTCATTTGGGTTTTGCCAGAAGGGCTCATTCTCCTCCACGGCAGCAATAATGGAGTTACTTTTTGGAATTGGGGCTGAACCCAAACAAGGTGATGATGTCACACATCGCCTCTTTCAGGTGCTTCCCAAAGCGATGAGAATCCTTTCGTTGAAAAACAAGAAACAAAAACACATTACAATGTGGAAATCCCCACATCTCAAGCCTTTTCACTTGTGATCTCACTCGAAGAACATTCCTCTTTGCCAATTCTCTCAGCTTTGACTTAAGGGCTCTGTTATTCCTTTATACATTCTGGGGAAAGGCCGGGGCTCGAGGGGACAACGGTCTGTGACTGTGTGGATGTACTGGAGTGAAGGCTTCTCTTAAAGCACACGCGCTACGTGAAGCCCAGAGAGTAATGGAACTCCACGATTCTCTGTTGATGATGGCCTTGGCTTTGCCTGTCAGGCTACGTACAATGTGGAAAGGAGAGAATATGAATCAGTGTTGAGTGCGCCATGCTGGGAAGGAGGTCGTGCCCCATTCGCCGAGGATGAGGCAGGCCCCTCCCTCGCTTGGCCGTGTACGTGCATTTCTTACTGTGTGCACACTCATCTTAGCCCACTGTCCAACTGTTACAGAGAATGAAAGTTACACAGGCACTCTGACATTAAGATTTCAAACCACTGCTGTGAGCCAAGATAAACATTTTCAACCAGATAAGATAATTTCTTCAAAACCAAATCAAGAGAACTTTGAAATTCCTTTATTTGGAAATGTCCAAACCAAGTAAACGTATATCACTGACTTGAAATTTTCTGTCAAATTAAGGATGTGCTCCCCTTCCAAAGAAAATGGTGCACAATCAGCATCCTTTGAAAGGGGACGGTGTTCTGTACTTACTGTCTCGGGGCTGGAGAGCTTGGAGGAGATGTGGAAGTTGATGAGATCCTCTCCCACAAGGATATACGACACGCCATAGCCATCGTCAGCGACCTACACAACAAGGCCGTTTACACGCACAGCCTTGGGAAGGAGGCGGTGGGGACGGGAGCTCCCTGACGCTTTGAATACAAGCCTGCCATCAGCATTGGTATTAATCAGCGGGGATTCCTCTTTGGGGGGCACACCCTCAAAGTAACGACAGGAGTTCAGAACCAGCAGGGGCCCGAAGCAGAGGTGGACGGGCACGTCCTCTCCCTGGGACGTGCGGTTCTGTGTACACTGATGCCCAGACACCTACCGGTCCAAAGCCCCCTCCGCTGGACACATACTCCGGATTCCGTTCCAAATCGAACAGCTCCACCTGCTGCTGAGGGGTTTGGCTGGTCGATAATCTCCAAGGCTCAGATAACACCTGTTGAGTAAAATAAGGGAATTTTCCAATGACACTTTTTCCAATCCCTCTCTGTCCTCAGGGAGCTGTCTCAGCTCTCCGCAGGGGTGCCACTGGCTCAGGGCAGCGGAGGGGCGGGGCAAATGCAGCACATGGGCCAGAGGGGCTCAAGGAGTCTCGGGCAGAAAAGGTGGCGGATACCCTAAGATTTGGAATGGGGGCTGGGGTGTCCTGGAGGCCCCACGAGCCCCGCTCCCACGAGCCGGCAGCTAATTTTCAAGAATTTTTCAGGTTGCTCATTCAACACAACCATTATTAAAAATTAAATGTCATAATTAAATAGATTCTGTTAAAAATGAAGGTGATAAATGAAAAGTCACATCCCAATTACTTGAGTACCTTCAGCTCTGATCTTGCTCTAGAGGTTAGTTACGTCTAGCAAGTCAGGAGGGTCGATCTGCTAGCAAGGCGTGCTTGGGGGCTGACGAAATGCCGCACAAGAAATGCAACGCCAACTCGGCTCACGGTGACCGTGAGGCCAAAGACCCATCAGTTAGCCCGGTTCCCAGCAAGGACGTCCTGGTTTCCCCAGGTCGGGGTTAGCCAATGAAGCCAGGTGAGCTGCCACAGGTGGACAGGACTTACCTCCTTAAGGAAAGGGGAATCGACGGCGAGATATTTGGATACCACATAAAGGCAGAAGAGGTGGCGGTCGATCCCAGAGCCAGTCATCGCAAGGCGGTACAGATGCTGATGATTCTCAGATGCGATCTTGAATAATTTGAGCTTCTGTTCAACCTAAGCAGCAAAGGATGGACGGCTTCAAGTCACGCAGTGCGGACCTGAGCTCCACGACACAGGCAGGAGGCCCCCCTCCCCACTGCTCCGACCAGGCACCATAAAAGCAGGTGTCTGAGGGCCTCTGGGACAGATGCTCTGGGGCAGCCACCCAGGCGGCCTGACCGGAAGCCCCATGGGCCACCATCACTCCCCAGATTTATGCCTCAAATGGCTGGGGTATGCTTTCGAAGTACTTTGGGGGTCCTATGTGTGCAGCCTGCTGGGCATGACTTCACCTTTTACACAAATGGGATTGCCAGGTAGGTAGGGAAGCTCAAGCTCCCAGTGCTCATTGTCTGAGAACGGAGCCCTGCCCCTCTCGGTCGATGGCAACGTCACCACGGCTCATAAACAATCCTCCCACGTCCTGGCCGGCAACCCTGCTGAGGCGGCTCTTCTGGGGCTGTGGAGTCTGACCCAGTTCTGCCTTCGGTTCTTCTGGGCTCTGTTAGTCACTCCCAGCACAAGAGTGATCCAGCGCCATTAGGTGGGAGCCCGTCCAGACTCTGACCCACCCAGGCAAGACCCGGTCTTGAAGGCTATTGCTGAGGCAGCTAATGATACATCAGAGGGGCCGTCATGATGCCGACTTAATTCTATCTACAGAACTGAAAGCCTTTCCCGAAGAAAATCTCCCCAGCACAGGGCAGGGCAGAGCAGCCTGGTCTGCGACTCCTTGGCCACCAGCAGTAGGTCCCTGTGCCCTGGGTCAGGGGACCTGGGCACAGACCAGCCACTCACCAGCTGGGCGGGCTGGCAGTTTGCTGAACCTATCAGTCTCTGTTGTTATCTACAGAAATGAACTGATGACGCTTTGCCAGGATCTCCAAAGGCAATGCATGGAAAACCCGGGCCCGCGAGCCTGCTCTGGGGGCTCCCGTGTGGGCGGTGGGCGTCAGTGACCCCGAGCAGGGGCTCCCGTGGAATGGCCACTGCTTTCTCACCTAGACCCCGACTACCCGTACTGCTCTGCAGAACCCACCACCAGTTACTGCATCCATCTGTTCCGTACGGTCCTATGCCAGACTCCCAGGAAGTATAATCTGATTTGCAGAAGTCACAGAAGACAGAGGACTGACACAGACTCTCTGAGTGTGTCCTGAACATCACGCATCAACACCCTAACACTGAAGGAAAGGAGAAGCTCGGTGTGGAGTCTCAGGAGAAGAGGGCACACACAGGATCTAACCAGAGGAGCTGGCACGTTAGAACGTTACCGTTTGGCTGGGGTCCGTCATGGCCAGCACGAAGTTGCACGACTCAGTGGTACAGGAACGCACTGTCTCCGTCCTCCCCTCACGGAAGAGCCGGGTCATGGAGGCCTCGTATGTGAGGCAAAATTTGCCCATGTCCTGGGGAAGGAAAAATGTTTTAATGCAAAGCAGGGCATGCAGATGAGCTCTGACATATAAGAAGAGACTGGCCAAGGGCAGCAGGGAAGAGCAGATCCGTCGTCAGCTTTGGTCTCCAGCCATCAGGTTTTACACAGGGTTATGTAGCAGGCAGGTGGAGACGTCATTAGTTACGGAAAGGTCTAGGGGGGTGGCAGGGAGGGTGGTCAGTTCTGGGTATCAGGGTTCCATTTCCAGATGCAGCCGATGCCATGGCACAACTTGAGTCTCACACACCTCCCCAAGTACAAACGCATATATGGAAGTAGTACCCACAAGGGGCTCAGCATGCAAGTCTGAAACGATTTAAGACATAAAGCGTTGGCAGGAGACACTGCACCACACTGGCATGGTGGTTAGAATGACCCAGTACAGAGACTGGTGCTTCAAGAGAGGGTGCAATCCAGGAGGGGTGTCCCCCCAAGGGAGGGTGGCCAGCCACGCCAGGAGGTGGAACAGCTAATCCTGAGACGGGAGGGAGACAGGGCCAGAGGGACCAGAGGAGGCTGGGATACTGACAGGCTTCCACAGGATGCTCCCATTTTCCCGGTAAAAAAGAGGAAAGGTGGCCTGCTGGCACAGGGGTGGAGTGAGGTGCTGAAGTCAGGAGAGGGAGCATGAAACTGGCATTCAGGGGCACAGGGTGGGCCACCAGAGTTGGTGCTCACTGATTTAAACTGGACGAGCCAGCACAGCGGGTTATCTCCCGGCCATGATGGCTTCTGGGACTGCTGCCCTGAACCAAGGGCGTTTCTGCTGGGCTGCACACCGCAGGTCCAAGGTCAGGAATGCTGATGGCAGGCCAGGGCCCAGACCCACGAGGGGAGACGGGAAGGTGAGAGGAGGGGACTCTGGAGTCGGGGGCCAGAGGGGCAATGGGCACGTCAGGGCAGCCGGTGGTGCCTGACGCTGAGCCCTGGTGATGTGACGACAGTCCAGCAAGGCGGTGCAGGACAGGGTCCGAGGAGCACACAGCATCCAAGCGCCCGCCATGGGGGGAAACCGCGTGCTAACTAGCGAGTCACACACAGCCATTAGGCCAGCTGGAGACACGCACTTCCCAATATGCACAGGGAGGTGATCCACAGCGGTTTGTGGATCGAAATTATTCCTGCCCAGACGACATCTCTGGACTTGGGCCCTTGTGACAGGCCGAAGCTGTGACGGTAAATCCGGAGGGGGTGCTGAAGGCCAGGGGGAACGCCCCCTTGCCCTGGCCCCAGGTGCCAGGGCTGCCAGCGCATTCACCACCCCCGCCGTCCTGCCTGTAGTGGGATGCAGCAAGCAGGCCACATGTGAGGCACACGGGGTCCGGGGCACTGCTGTGGTGTCCCCGGGCCCCGGGCGCCCAACAAAAGCAGCACCAATCCAGCACACTCTCCTTCAACACCCCAGGCGTTACGTTTCCCTGGGATGGCGTCCAGGAGGGGTTCCAACTCCTCGCCCTGCACCTCGGTAAGCAGGACTCCCGCATGTATCAGATACCTTCCAGGGGACAGCACACCCCAGCTCCTGCATTACAGGTGTTTCTAGAGCGGCACACGACGCAGCTGGGGGGAGGGAAGAGGAAGGAGGAGGAGGACACAGGGATGAAGCACAAATGTGCTGCTTTAGTAATTTAACAAAGGTTAACCTTATTTGAAGCCAACCTGCCAACATCAAACCTTAACTGTCTAAGTGGTCAGCACAATCATGCATTACACTCACAATTTTGAAAATGAACACTTAAAAACCTCTTGGCAAATGCACCAAATATTAGCATGCCCAGACCCCCACCCCGCAGAGCCAAACCGGGTGGCGCCTGCAGCCCCACCTAACCTGCCACGATAGCTGCCATCGGGAGAGCAGCCGCTCGCCACCGGCAAAACAGCTCCAGTTTCTAATGCGCAGGATCAAAAGACAAAGTATATAAAGATACCGACATATATGGCGTGAAAACACAAACCTTATGCACAGGGCTGTGGCCCCACGGCGAACTGCTCGGGTTGGTGACACCTTGGGGGACTTTTCCCCTCCAGTTTCCAAATGAAAAATAAATAGGACCCAAAGCAGCAGGCAGACAGCTGTAGACTGTAACTGCGGCTGCTGCCCAGTGCCGTCACTCATCCAATCATTAAGTATCTATTCCCTGACGCCTCTACCTCTCTGCCCGGCATGTTCTCAGCACTGGGGATGTGGTGACAAACGAGACAGATCACGTCCCTGCCCTCGAGGAGCAAACGTTCTAGCGAGAGACGGACGATGAACAGGTCCATGAGGCCGAGTAGGGACAGGTGCACTGGGTGGGCACGGGGGATGGGGGCACTTGAAACCTCACCACCCATCCCTCATCCGGGAGACAGTGGCTGCTGGTGGACAGCACGTGCGAAGGCCCAGAGGCAGGAATGAGCCTGGCACATACGGGAGCAGCAGAGAGGCTGGTGTGGCAAAGGCAGAGTGAATGAGGCTGAAAGTGACTAGAGGAGGTTGGCAGGGCAGGCAGATGACCAGATCAGTGGCTACCAGCCTTGAGGGTGTGTGACCTTGGAAGGGAAAACATATTTCTTTGTTAATCTGCATTAACCTCAAACCAGAATATAACATAAGGAGCACAGTCAACAGATTACAGTAGTTGCGAGCACTGCCTGTGACTCTGAATAGAAAACATAGCAATTTACACATCAAATTAAGGCTGCTGCAGCTATCCCCAAATACCAACTACACCCAGAGGTTGTTAGACGTGCTACTCAAAATTCAGGGCATGAATAATCACGTTTACTATGCCACAGATTTATGTTTAGTGTTTTGACATCTGCATTTTCATTAACTGGTTCCCTTTGTCATCCTGTGTATTTCCACTCAGCCTTTATAAACACTTTTCTGAGAAGCCCCAAGACTGTCCCATCTGCCTATGGGGCACAGATGAGTTTCAGAAGCCTGGAGCAGAGCCCCCGGACCACACAGCATGTCCCCCAGCTCCGAGCCGGGCAGACGAGTCTGAGGATCAGCTCAACCCGGAGCCCTGCCCATAATGGAGCCGGTGCTCACGTAACAGTGTTTGGAATGGATGAATCTGATTTACATTCTAATAGACCATTTCAGTATATCTGTCATTTTTAACAGACTAAGTGCTACGTGAAGAGTTTATGTGGAAGAGGGGTGGAGAATGAAAGGCTAATTATTTCTAGCCAGCGGGCAAAGAATGTAAGTGCTTGGGTTATCCTTAACTTTGGAAAAGTAACTTAATTTCTTAAGGATTAACCATAACACATGCATATTGAAAAAATTAAAGAGAAAAGTATAAGAAGATAAAGATCAACCTTTCACACCATCTCCTGCCAGTAGTTTACATCCATCCTTTCTAGGCTTTACCTATAATAAGAGAGGGGAAATGTTTTCTGTGAAGCACATGTAGTGAATAGTGTCGTCTTTGCGGGCCGATGGTCTCTCGACTACTCACAGTGCGGCCGTAACTCGAAAGCAGCCATGGACGGTATGCCCAAAAGGGGGTGTGGCTGCGGGCCAAAAGAATTTTTTCTATGAACTCTGAAATTTCATTTGATTTCCATGTATCATGAAATAATACTTGACATTTGAATTTTTTCAATTATTAAAAATGTAAAACCATTCTTAGCTCAAGAGCCATGCAAAAAAACAGGTAAAGGGCTGAATGTGGCCCACGGGCTGGAGTCTGCAGAATGCTGTAATAAATGACTGACTTTCACATGCTATTTTAGGACTGTTTTCATAGGATATACCACAGACATTATTGAATAGTTACATAACATGTCATTGTACAAAAATACAATAATTTAACAAGCTTCATATTGGTAACCTACAGATTGCTTCAAATTTTTACAGAGGGGCATGCTTAAACTCATCTCAGTGAACCTGTCCTTAAAGGATACAATTCTCAAAGTAGAATTTGCCAGGAAAACTGTTACGGGGGCATGATATATTTTACTGCTTGAATGAGTGACACAGATGAATGCATAAAACATCCCTTTCTCAGCCCGCTGTTACAAATACATAATTTTAAAAAGATCTCTACAAACTACATAGGCAAAAATTCAGTCTTATTTAAATTGCATGTATGGGATTCCTAGTAAGATTAAACTTTCTGGCACATTCACCATTTGTACTTTCTTCTCCTGTGAACCACCAGTTTCTGCTCTGACTCCATTTTTCTATTGGGCTGTTTTATTTTTTCTCCCCAATGGACCCATCTTGCCACCCTTGCCCACCCCACTTGCTATCAACTCACCCCTCCCCACTGACGTTAAACTCCTTCACCACATACTAGTCACGGAACTATTCTGGCTGTATTACATACACCATGTGAATTACTATAACCTCCCCATTCAGGCCTTGAAAGAACAAGTTTCCATCTCACCCTGCCCCATCTCCATCTTACTTCTATTTTTCAGAATGTTACTGGTCATTTTCAAAGGCCAGCTCTTCCAGGTAGGCTTGAGGATTAATCGGTCAGGCTCCCTCCTAAAATCACCTTCATGCCTCTGCCTCTGCTCTCGCGTTGAGCATGTGGACCAGGAGCCCTCACCTCTCGGGGCCAAGCCTTCCTGTCCGAAATCACGGCCTCGGCCCCCTTCCTCTCCCCTCCCAAAGGTCCCACCTGCTTTATCAATGCACGCCTGGGATCCCAGATTTTCATTCCCCATTTCCATTATATTTTCCTAAGATATTTTCTCCTTGTCCGTCATTGCTACCCAAGGAAGACACTGTCCTTGCAGAATCGTACCCCAGCGTCCTGAGGAGGCCTCTTAACCATCAAAGCCTTTCCACCTGCTCTCTCCTGAGTGGATACGAGTGTCCCTCCGCCCCATCACCCTGCCAGCTGCGCTCAGGCAGAGACACTCAGGAGCAGTGGGGCTGCTGGACGCAGCCTCGTGCTTCTCGTGTTAATGCGGTCGCCCCCACATCTCCACCTTTAAAGCCGTATGCTGGCCACAGATACATGACGGTATTTATCAAGTTAAGGAAATAGCCCCTGATACTAAGAGCCGTTACCAGGAATGGATGCTAAATTTTAAATGTCTTTTTTGTATCTGTCAAAACGACTGTCTGGTTTCTTCTGACGTGGTAAGATGATTCAATCCGTTACTGGGTTTGCTGATACAAACCGTCCTCCCACTGCCGATACAAGCTGGTACTGGTGGTTACACTTCTCCTATACTGGCAGCTTCTACTGGCTATTTTATTTAGATTTTTTTGTGTTTATATGCATGCACAAAACTCAGCTATGGTTTTCTTTTTTTAGGTGTATCCATCCAATTAAGCCCTTGCACAGCGATTGAGGACATGGGCTCTACACCTGCCTGTCTGGATCTGAGCCCAGCCTTCCCACTAGGAGCTGTAGACCTCAGACAGGTCACCTCCCCTCCTCGTGTGCAAAGCGGTCATGGAAAAGCGCCTTCTCGGGGTTACCATGAGGGCTCACTGGCTCCTGCAAGGCACCGGGCGGGCACCAGGGTGGGCTCCGTACGGCTCACCACGACGGTCAGAGCGAGGCAGGTCCTGGGGCTCAGCCGGGCAGCGTGCTTCTTTCGTCCCTTCTGCTGAGCCAAACGCTCTTCAAAGCCACAAAGTGCCTCAGGCAGGGGGCTCTCCAACAACCCCCATTCACCCTTGGGTGCTGGCCTTTTCAGGCCTCCCACCTAGTCGTGGGTCGGCTTTACTAATTTGAGCTGCTGGAGAAAATAATCATTTTATCAAGATGCTCTCACGTGTACCCCTGCGGGGCCCAGTGCTCTCCACGGACATCTCTGTGCCTGAGGTGTCCCTCCACTTATGGTGCTAATACTGCGTGTTCAGGTGCAAAGGCTACTTATCAAGTTTGCATGCCAGTTCGTGAACTCTAAGGTCCAGTTCCTTGATCCTGTCCTATCTTTTAGTCGCCTGACCTTCAGACAAGAGCCAAGTCAAAGCGCACTGCGGCAACCGTGCTCGCTCCGGCTGCTCTCCGCTCCTGTACTTCAGTGTCTCAGCGAGCAAGCGATTCGGGAAAAGCCTCGTGACTGTGACAGTCTTCAAGGAGAACCACACTGCAGTCGGCCCCGAGCGCAGTGCAGCCCACCGGTTCTGGCCCACCCGATGCAACCGTTGCCGCTTTACTGTTCTGCATCTGTTTACTTTCTTGAGTTACAGAGGAGCCGGTCGTACAGGCTCGAACCCTGCAGGCGCCACCTGGATGCATCCCTGCCACACACTGTAGTGCCACCTGGGCAGGCTGCCTCACCTCCCTGCACCACAGGTTCTCACCCGTGAAACAGGCTGACAGCAGGGTCCCTGCTGAGGGGATGGGCTGTGGTGTGCATAAAGCCAGGGCCTAGCATGGAGTAAGAAGCAGGGACGGCAGCCCCTGTTGGGCAGGGACGCCACGCCCCACGCATGTGCACAACACTCGGGATTTACAGTACAAGTCACCAGGGAAAAACAGGGTATGTCTCGACCCAATGCCTCAGTGACCTCCGCTGCCCCTGGAAACTGAGGGTCCGCTGTCTGGGCGGAATGCTCCCTGCGGTGGGAAGGTGCCCCATGCGGGTCCTCCTAGGGGCCAAGGCTGCTTCCTCCTATGGGGCCACCCTGAGCAAGCAAAACGCGGCTGGGTGGCAGAGAAAGGAGGTGGAAACACCGTGTGCTTCTGTGCTCACGGGGACCCCACCCAGCCAAGAGCCCGTCCAGGGGTCAGAGGTCCCAGACATCAGGAGACTTGCCCTGTGCCCTCCGTGACAGATCTCGGTCTTTCCCGGCCATCCGGCAAACAGCCCTGGCCGTCTGGTCCACGAGCCCCCAGAGCCTAGGCTCGGGGCTCTTACCTTGTAGTGGGCCAGCTGCAGGGAGAGCTGGACAAAAGCATCCGGGCTCGTCCGGCATTTCTTGATCAGTCCTTTGCCAAAGGCGTGGAA